GCCGCCTGCCGTATGAAGAAGTTGGCCTTCTAGATGTTCGGAATCACGTCCTTAAGGGTACCACCACGTCACTTTACTGGATCATCCACACAATCCCTCACGCTTTTTCCTTGGTCAGGCCACTCCCCTGCTTTCAGTGGTGAAGTACAAGAGGAATATGCTCCATTCCTGCCCCTATTCTACAACTGCACCAAGTTCAAGCCAGAGGAGCGGTATTCAGCTGAGCAGGCTCTCCTTCATCTTCTGCGATTGTGATTCCTGTCTTCTCCAATATGCAAAGCCTTTCTTTGTGCAATGATGCAGTGGGTCATGTTGTACAACATGGCTACGAGTGCTTCTTCATCTTCCACATCAACATGGTCCCAATCTCTGGAGACAACTGACTACGAAGTCAGTACGTGCTGCTCGCCACCACACACATTCTTGCCCTTAGACGGTGGTGCACTCGCCCACACGCTCTCTGGCTGGCGCACAGAGTTTTTTCTGGCTGAAGTGAATCTGACCGACGTAGTACCACGATCGACGGACCGAACAGGTAGAAGAAGAGCGAGCGGACCACACCCATCCACAGCCGCTGACCCATGTGCGGCGGGCAGGTGAACATACACGGACCACTTCAGACGGTTATGACCGCTGTTCCTAGTTTGCCTCCCATTGGAGACCCTCGGGGCACCCAGCGTAAAGATGGAAACGCAGAAATGGGAATAGGCCTATTCCATTGGCACTAACCTACGCGATCTCTGTCTCTTCTTCGAGGGCCGCAAAGTACGAGCCAACATTGGCCCCGGCTACAAGTTTTCGCCTCCGTATCACCATCATCGCTGAAGTCCTTGGTATCCAAGCCCTACGTGGTCTAGGCCGGCAAGATCAAGGCTTAAAAAAAAACATTTTTGTTGCACCACCCTCATTCTTTCTCATGTCCCAGCCTGCTTGGCTGATTCAGCACTGAATTAGGCGGGCAGACCGCGGACGCTGAAAACCCGAAGCCCGGCAAATTTTGGAGCCATTTTTTCTGTAGTTTGTCACCACCTCCACCTCTGAGGCAGGCCACACCAAGTGGTACTCTTGGCCAACAACATC